CACGTCTGCTCAGCAAGCACTCGATCCCCTTTGCACCAGACTCCTAGAAAATGAAGAGTTGGAGGTTGCATCTAGTCCAACCCCCTGCTCCAGGCAGGACCAGCCCCAACTACATCATCCCAGCCAAGGCTTTGTCTATCTGGGTCTTAAAAATCACCAAGGATGGAGACTCCCCTACCTCTCTGGGGAGCCTGTTCCAGTGCTTTACTATCTTCCTCAGGAGGACATTTTTCCTAGTATCCAACCCAGCTTCCCTTGCTGCAGCTTGAGCCCATTGCTCCTTGTCCATCATCTGCTCCCACTGAGACCAGCCCAGCTCCATCCTCTTTGCAATCCTCGCAGGGAGGTGGAGGCTGCTATTCAATCCCCCTCGGTCTCCTCTTCTCCAGACTCAATCAGCCCATTTCCCTCAGCCTCTCCTCACCAGTCCTGTCCCCCAGTCCCTGCTCTCCAACGTGTCCACATCCTGTCTGTAGTGGGGGCCCACAGCTGGACACAGGACTCCAGATGTGCCCTCCCCAGTGCTGAATAGAGGGAAGAATCACTGCCCTTGATCTGCCGGCACCGCTTCTGCCGATGCCGCCCAGGACGCCGGTCACCTTGCTGGCACCACGGGTGCGCTGCCGGCTCCTGTTCAGCTTCTTGTCCCCTGTCCCCCCAGGTCCTTTTCTGCAGCGCTGCTGCCCAGCCCGTCCTCCCCAGCCTGCCCCGGTGCCTGGGGTTGCTCCCTCCTCACTGCAGGACTTTGCACTTGTCCTTGTTGAACCCCATGAGATTGCTTTTGGCCCAATCCTCCAATTTGTCTAGGTCATGACTTGCCCTGGTGCGTCCATGCGGGCTGTTCCCGATCACCTTCTTCTCCTCCCAGTGCTTAGAAATGGATTCCTTGAGGATCTGCTCCAGGATTGTTTCAGGTGAGGCTGATTGGCCTGGAGTTCCCCGGATCCTCCTTTTTTCCCTTTCTTAAATATGGGCACTATGTTTGCCCTTTTCGAGTCATTCAGGGCATACCCCGATCACCATGAATTTTCAGAGATGATGGCCAGGGGCTCTTCAATCACATCAGCCAACTCCCTCAGCACCCTCGGGTGCGTCCCATCCCTCCCCATGGACTTGTACACATCCAGCTTCTCTAAATCACCCCTACCCTGTTCTTTCACTGCTGAGGGCTGCTCACCTCCTCCCCATGCTGGGCTGTCCGGGCAGGAGTCCAGGAGCTGACCTTGCCTGTGGAGACCAAGGTGAAAAAGGCACCGAGCACTTCAGCCTTTTCCTCCTCGTTGCCTGCCGCACTTTCCCTGACCCGCCGCTTGTTGCTGACATGCTTGTAGAAACTCTTCTTGTTGCCCTTCACCCTTCATTCCCCTCACAAATGAAGGCGTTGAACCGGGCTGGACCAGCACAGACCCCTGGACACCTTCTCCCCACAAGACGCTGACCCGCTGCGGACCGCTCCCTGGGCGTGGAGATCCAACCAGCTACGTACCCACCTCACAGCACTGGCCTCTGGCCTGCGCTTCCTTAGCTTCTCGGTGACAACGGCATGGGAGACTGTCCAAATCCTTGCGAAAGTCAAGGTCCGTCGCACCCACCGGTCCCCGCTCCATCCACAAAGCCTGTCACCTAGTTGTAGAGGGCAATCGGGAGACGTCCTGGTGAATCCTGCCCTTTCTGGCAGATGGGCACCGTGTTGGCCCTTTTCCAGTCATCCAGGCCCTCGCTTGAGCGCCACAAGTTTTCAAAGAGGGCAGCCAGCGTCTCTGAATCCCCTCGATGTGCTCCTTCAGCACCCAACGGTGCATCCCATCCGCCCCGCTGACTTGAAAGTAGCCGGTTTCTCCAAGTCACCCCGACCCGTTCTGCCGCGCCTCTGCGCTGTTTGTCTCCTTCCCTGGCTCTGCTGCTAGCTGCCCCTAGTTTGAAGGCTGGAGTCAAAGGGGTGTTGAGTACTTCCACCTCCTCTGCATCACCTGTGTCTCACTGCCTTCTGCGTCTTGGAAGGGACCTGCGGGCCCCTCCGTCTTCCTCTGCACGAACCCCATTTTATTGCTTTTACGCCCCTTGTATCTCACATCACGCCTTGGCCTTTTGAGGGTGCTCGCTGCACGCCCTTGTGATACTCCTACAGTCATCCTCAATGGCGAAGACGACGAAGAGTATTGTGACCACATTTGGGGGGGAGGGGAGTTAGAGCAGGGGGCTGGGAGCCGGGACACCTGGGTCATGGCCCAGCTCTGGGAGGGGACAGGGCTTGAAGCAGGGACTCTCCTCTCCCCTGGCCCCTCGGTCTCCGCAGGCACTGGGACGCCTTCGACCGCTTCGCCCGCCGGGCGCTGCTCAGCAGCCGCTGCAGCGTGGAGCTGCCCCCAGCAGCCTCCGTCTTCGACATCTACCCGCAGCCGGAGAGCGGGAGGCTGGAGGTCTTCAACGGGTCGTACCTGTGCCACAGGCCCAAGGGGGTCCCCGCCACCTTCAACCCCCTGCCCCAGGTACTGCAGGCCCCGGGGGTGGCGCCGGGCACCACCGAGTCCCCGGGCGGGGAGCCTGCCCCTGTCTTGTCCTGCCTTGGGGTGACCAGAAGCAGGGGCAGGAGCTCTGGGACCATCCAGGGTCCCCACGCCAGCCCGGCTGCTGCCGGGGCAAGACAGGGGCTCTGCCCCAGGCCTTCGAGCCGTCCAGGCCTGGCCACCTAAGGGGCCCAGCCAGAGCTGCGGGGAAGCAGGGAGGAGCTGGGGGGCAAAGGGGGTCCTGGAGCTCTGCACTCCCGCCGCAGCACGAGCGCCTGCTGTACGTGGTGGACGTGCTGCTGGGCGCCCGCCAGCCCGTGCTGCTGGCCGGGGAGCCCGGCGCCGGCAAGTCAGCCTTGGCGGAGCTGCTGGCCCAGCCGCACCAGTCCTGGCAGCGCATGTCCCTCTCGCCTCCCGTCGGTGCCACCCACCTGCGCCAGCTGCTCCAGACCCGGGTCCCGAGCAGCTCCAGGGCCCCGGGGCTGCGGGCGCCCTCCCTGCACGGCACCAGGGGCCACCTGCTTGTGCTCGAGGACCTGCACGCCGCCGAGCCCGGTGAGTGCCGCCACGGCCAGCAGCCTTGCCCAGCTCCCCACCCCCCAGCTGGCCCCGGGGCCTGAATGGCTCGGGGGCAGCGACCCCTCCCAGGGCAGGCGCAAGGCTGATGCCCGCTCTTGGCTGCAGGCCCGGGGGGGGGCAGCTGCGCTGTGCTGGAGACCCTTCGCCAGGCCCTGTCGCACCGGGAGGTCTGCAGCGCGGAGACCCTGGAGCTCCAGCGTCTGCTGCCCGGCCGCTGCCTGGCCACTGTGTCCGCCCCTGCACCAGGCGCGCCCCCCCTCTGCCCGCGCCTGGCCCGGCTCTTCAGCACGCTGGCGCTGCCCACCCTCACCCGGGACGCGCTGGTCACCATGCACACGCCCGCTCTCCTGGCCTGGCTGGAGAGGCTCCCACAGGTGCCACGGGCCAGCGAGCTGGCCCCTGCCTTGGTGGGCGCCACGGTGGACGCCTACGAGGCCGTGCGGGCGCGCTTCCGGCCTGTGCCTGCCCGCTGCCCCTGCCTCTTCTCCGCCCACCACGTCGACAGGGTGCTCCGGGGCCTGCTGCTCCTGCGGCCCAGCCCCAGCCCGCCCCTGCCCGGCCCCGCAGATGAGGGGCGGGCGGCACGGCGTGGCTCCACGGGGCTGGCTGCCAGCCCCACGCTGGGCGCGCACACGGTGCTGCGCCTCTGGCTGCACGAGGCCGTGCGCACCTTCTGCGACCCGCTGGCCTCGGCGCCCGAGCAGCGGGAGTGCGCGCAGCTGCTGCTGGACACAGCGCTCGGTGCCTTCTGCGCCCACCGCAGCGACCTGCAAGCTCTCTCCAATTCCGAGCAGGGCCCTGGTGCCCGCCCCGCAGCCCCCACCGACGAGGAGGACGAGGAGGACGATGCCCCCAGCGACAGTGACGCGGAGCCCGATGACACCCCCAGCAG